GTTGTAAATCAATATGGAATAATTTTGTATATCTTGAACATTTCGAATTATCAATATATCCATCGACATTTGCTTGAGCAAATCCAAAAAGAAAGTGCTATGTTTGTGTTCATAATGTGAGCAGAGTCAAGTCTAGGAGAGACTCATCGTATGAATGTATCGAGCGTGATTGTGGGACTGTATCTAGTAGATTGTTTTATGTATACATGTGTTGTTAAGGGCATTTTAAGATATATCGAAATAAAAATAAACTTAAGCTTGTCGACCAGAGCTAATATTTATTGTAGTAGATTCAAGTCGATTACAGATTTCATTAATTGAATGATTTGTTTGTTCTACTTCAATGTGAAATTTCTTCAGTATGAAGTAAGATATCATATGATGAAATTCTTAAATGAAATCGAAACTGACTATCATGACTTGTTCATTATCAATACTTATTCTCTTGAAACAGTAAGAAAAGATTAAACGTGAGTTCTATAAAATATATCAATGATTGAGATGCTTTTCAGCGTGTTTGTGACAATTTAATTTTTAATTATGAATTTATTAGTAAATGCTTCTTCATAATAATAACTATTTCACTTGCTAGGGTAGTCAAGAAGGAAAAGAGTATGACGAAGTTTAGATTATTTCATGCCACTTAATTGTATCAAAATAGGAAAAAAAATGATAGATCAATGTCACTGTTATAGTTGCATCTTGTTAGATACTGCTGATAAAATAATATTGAGTTTATGGATTAATGGCAGGTAGTGATAAATATGCTAACACTGCTTATACCGAAGCTTGCCGTAGCCACATCGTCCAGTCCATCGCCATTAAAATCGCCTGTAGCCACTCCAAATGGTTCAGAGTCAGCACCAATCGAATAAGGTCCTTGAGGAACAAATTGACCATAGCCACTGTTGCGATAAAGACCAAAGTTGTCGTCATTGGAGTTTACATAGACAATGTCAGGTTTTCGATCATTATTGATATATCCGATTGCCGCACCTCTTGGTAACGAACCAGTTAGAAGAGTCTTGTGAAAGATGAGTGTACCATCACCTGAATTGAGAAAAATAGTGATGCTGTTTGTACCACTGTTGACACAAACAACATCAAGTTTGCGGTCATCATTCAAGTCGGCTACTAACACAGCTCTTGGTAGCGATCCGCTACCAATAGGGTAAACTATCTGAGAACCGAATATGCCCCCACCTCGGTTAAAGAAAACACCTATGTTGTTTCCATCACGGTTTGCAACAATAATGTCATCTTTATGGTCACCATTGAGATCACCTACTACTACTGATCTTGGTGATGAGTTAGAGCCAGTGGAATAGGTTATCATAGGAGCATATGAATTACGACCTGTAGTCAAGAAAATACCAACATTATTGCCTCTATTATTCGCTACAACAATATCGAGATAACGATCACGATTGAGATAAGCGGTTGCTATAGAGATTGGTGCTGAGCCAGCACCAGTTGGTAAAATTACGTGAGAAGCAAATGTACCATCACGTTGATTCAGGAAAATACTAATGTAATTTAGACCAAAATCGGGTGCCATAATATCGAGATAACCGTTGCAATCAAGATCAGCAAGTATTACACTGTTTACCTCTGAACCAGAGCCACCAGTTGAATAGGTCCTTTGACCACCAAAACTGCCACGACCATTATTATTAAAAACGGTGATGCTTGCTGATTTATTATTTGCGGCAACAATGTCAAGATCCCCATCATTATTCAAATCACCTACTGCCAAGAAATAGGTTCCAGCAGGTGTGGGTAAATTCGTTGGCCCAACAAACGTTGGAATGCATTTTTCTATTAGGAAAGAGAGATGAAAAAGTATTTGTAGAGTCATACTCATAAGCTATTCTATCGGTGCAATGTCATCTGTTATGATATAGTATCTGTAACAGCTGATTCGTTCAAGTAGCGAAGGATGAAACGAATCTCCGGTTCTAGTTCCCAGTACATTCTACTATTTTCTCAATATGTTTGATTCTTCTCTTGTACATGAATGTCCGATGGGCCCCGACAACTCGAAAATAATCAGATGCTGGATATGATAAGTTTTAAAATATTATTATAAAAATCTTGAGTGCTACTGACCTTGACCACTTGAATTCCTGGGAATTCGATCTATCAGAACCTACCGAAATTCATGACAGATGGACATTTCGAGGATACTGAACTTTCAGATCGATGTTGTGGAATGTCACTGCTCATAAGATCGAAGCACCATGTTAAACGAACAGTATTAAGTTTCATCGAATTATTAACAAATTCAGATCGGCATCTCGAAACATTGATCAAGTGGTAGTTTAGGTAAGGATTAATTGCAATTGTTATGGAGTTCTATCGTTTAGAAATTTTCCCTATGAAGGAAATGTGCCTTTAATAGTTCCATTTTAAGTTGAATCAGATTCAGTTATCAAGAAGTAAACTGATTTCGAAGTCTGATAGTTTCTTTGCTAGAGTATGAGTCAATTTTTCACATAGGTATCAAACAAAGCCTGTGAAGAGAATAGTCTAGTCAAAAATAAATTTTTGCGAAATATCTTTTATAGAATTCTGAAACTTAGTGAGATAAATAGAGTTTTTACGCATTCATGAATATCTTAATTTCTAGACAAGGAACTACGACGAACGCTATTCTTCAGTTTTGTATCGAGTCACATTAGAGCTCACTATTATTATACTCTTCAAACAAAAGACATATTCCAAAAACGGAAAAATTTCCGATTTCTTACTGTCTGAAAAGTATTAAAGATTTTCGGCAAAAGGTTTCTGATACGTGAAAAACTATAAAAAAAAACATCCAGTTACAGTAAAACTTCTAGTGTCGATCTTGGAAATTGGTTAAAAGCTTTCGAGATCCTGATCTTCTCATTCTAGATCGAGATTAAACCCAAAACAATAAATATGTTCTTAATTTGTATACATATCTGACGACTTACATGGTGCTCGTCTTAACTTCAGTTTAAATAAATGAAATTATTATTTTTTTTTAGATATTGACATGAAACACTTACTGTTTGAAGGAAATCTTCCATGACCTAAAAGAAAAAAAAAGATACAATCAGTTTTTAGATATTCGATAGTACAAGCAAGATGATTCATCAGCTTTTTTTTAGAACGATATACACATATTTCTTGGTTGCTACGTCAATGACCATATCTGAACATTTATATGTTCAACTTGAAGCTTTAAATTTGATTTGAGAATCTTCAATAGTACGATTATTTTATTAATAAACAACTTCTAACAAAATTTGATATAAAAGGATTCTCAAGTGATGACGCGACATTTAAATTGAAATTTTGTGGTTGTGCTACGTCAACTATTCCGATATCAAGTATGAAACAATTTAAGCTTAGATCGAATGGAATATAAAATTATAACTAAGATACTTTTTACTACTTGATGTATACATACAACTACATAGTTTTTCTAGAGTATCGTCTATGTTTCTAGAAGTATTGTCTAATGATAGACATAGTAAAGACATATGTGAAGTGGAATTCCATTTTGTTAACATACATTCATGGCTACATGCTGCTTTTTGTCTATTACAATAATTTTTTCACTGATGATCATAAATCTTGAAATTTATGTTTCTGTTTATCGTACCACAAGAACTTATCTTTTATACGCTTATAGGGTGATATAAACCATGATAGTAGTAGAATAGAATTTCACTTCATGCATGTTTTGCTATACGTACCGTCTGACAATATTTTCAGAAACACACATGATACTCCAGAAAAAGTATGTACTAATTGGATATACATATCAACTAGTGAAAAGTGTTTTGACTAGAATTTTTTTTCATGGAATTAGCTTCACTTGTTATAGTTTCATAATTATGTCTGAATTTATCAACGAAGTAGAGTTAAAAGAAGACACTTGAGTATCGATTTTCGTTTATTACGCATTGTCATTTTTATTATCGTCTAGATTTGTTGATTAGAGTTTTCTTGCAAAGTAGATGCAATTGTTTTCAAGTGAATAATTTATTAAACACGCTTTACGTCTTGGAACATTCAGTTAGAGTATAGATAACATAGAACGATATAAGCGTTATCTTTTATATTACTACTTTTAGGACAGTAACAAATATCAATTGAATCAAACTATAATTTACATAAAGGATTTTCTTAGTCTTTGAATCTGTATTTCCGTAAATCGTGTGCTTGAGAAAGATCATTCACTATTTAAATATATAGTCATATTTAAGATTTCGAACAAATGAGTAATGAAAATTAATTGAACCTATACAACGGTTGTTTTGAAGTAGAACGAAAAATGATGAATTCCGTAGACTATTTCTAATCGAAGTTGTTAATCTGAGAAAGACCTGATAAATGAAATAATTCACATGATAAAAGACTACTTCTCATGTGTAGATCTTTTTGTCAGAGTTTATCTTCACTGCTGACAGTCATTTATTTGAACGAGCGATATAATTGTGATCATTTTAGATTCACTCAAAAGATTATACATATATATTAACTTATGTGACTTCAAAGTTGTCAGTAGCGAACAATAGGATCAATTCATGGAAAGACTTTTCCTATTGATGAAGAAAAAATTCATCCTACATCATATCAATAAAAGTTAAGAAAATAACAAAATACAAACACATCTACTGTTCATGAGTCTTGGTAAGTCATTTTCAAATCTTATTAACAGATATTGATCATTTTGATTCGGATAAAAGATAAGATTTTTCTTCATAACTGTCTATGTTTGAAGCACCACATGAAAAGATGAATTAGAAAGAATAAAAATTTAATCCGATTAAGCTCAATACTTATCATCATGAACAAATTTCCTTCCATTCCATCAAAGAATATTGATTCAATTTCTTGATAGAGATTTCTCTATTATATGTTTCTGTTACTGAAACAATAAATATCCTATTGTTCCTGTCCATCCATACTACTTTTGAACCTTATATAAAAAAAGATCAACATACAGCAAGATCTACTATTAAGCTACTACTAATAGAAATAATTAACAAACCTTTGTTATGATCATTCCTATACTGTTCATTTGGACTTGCTAGGCATACTGAGATCAATAAACACATAATCAGAATTTGAAGTCCATGTGAATGCAGACCAAACAAGGTTCCAAAGTCGAAGAAAAAACATTTAACAGACATTTTTTCTAAAATAAAAACAAAGAAAAATATCATCATTGATTTCTGAGCAAAAGACTATGAAAACAGTTTAAGCGTTAAGTTAACGCTACTAATTATTTGCTCAGTAAAAATATTGAAATGCTAAGTAAACTGTGTGATTGCTCAGTAAAAAATTTGAATGCTAAGTAAAAAAATTGGATGCTCAGTAAACAATTTGTTTCTCAGTAGAAAAAATATTTGCTAAGTTAAAAAAACATTCGCTAAGTTAAAAAAATATTCACTGAGTTAAAAAAATGAATCCTAAGTAAATAATTCTTTTGTTAAGTTAATAAATTGAACTTACAGTAAAAAAATTAAAATATTAAGTAAAATATAATTTATTACTAAGTGATTTCGAATAAAAAAATCTTCAAATATCTAAGATAAAAAAACTCTGTGTGTCGGTATGACGCATACCTTTTTCTTCTTGATTTCCTGTTATAAACATTAAAGTACACGTAGTTCGATATATATGTATATTCCAACTATTTCTTTTTGTTCGTTCGGAGGTAGTATGTGAATGAGTGCATGTTTGTCTTCGAGGATGTTTTAGTGGAATTGTTTGTACTGTTTGTTTATCATTTCCATTACATATGATCTTCAATATTTTCTGGAAAATTCATAAATCATGCCGAATATGTATCTTCTAGTGAATTCTCAGGTCTTCTCTTTCTTTTCTACGCGTATATAAATATACATCTGTGCTAATGAAAAATATGTTTAATTGGATCACTATGGCGAATTTTACGACAACACAAGCATATGAAAGTTCATCTGAAAGTCTTTAACAAAGCATCATCATTGCCTGTTAAGAAATGGAGCCAAAGAGAACATGACTTTTTACAATACTTTGAAAACGAATGGTTACAAACTTTTTCTACTTGGTATGAAGAATACAATTGCTTCACACCTAGTACTAACAATTCATTAAAGGCAACCAACATAGTGATTAAAGATAAATACACGCTTAGAGAAGGACATCCATTATCAAGATTTTTTGTGATAGCCAACGACATCGTACGTAGATGGTCTAAATCTTGGGATCCAAAACAAATAGATCCAATTATTTATTCATCAGAGCCAACAATTACATTAAAAAAATGGACGGATGCTTATCATTTTGCTAAATCGTCAAAGTTGGTATTACAAACACCATCGAGCCGAAAATATATTATTGATTATTATATACCAGCTGGTGAAGCACAACACATTACACAACATGATATTCAAAAATACCAGAAAAAAACCTGGAACTCCTTTGATCAATTCAAGATTCTTCAATTCGGTATATGGAAAGTGACTTTATCTAATGATGGAACGAAATGGAAAAGTGGCACGTGTAATTGTCCAAACTTCTTCAAAGAATTTATTTGCAAACAAGTCATTGGAATGGCTATTAGATTAGAGTTTTGTAAACCACCATCATCGGCCAAAGACATAGCTTTAAGGCAAAAAAGAAAACGAGGACGACCTCGAAAAGCTACAAAAGCTTTACTAACACAATAACTGAACAATTATATTTTTTTACTTAGATATTTGTACTTCTTTAATTAGAGAAAAATATATACTTATTTAGACATGATCAATATTTTACTTAGAAATTATCATATGTTTACTTAGAATTTAAATAAAAAACTTTGCAAAAATGATTTTTTTACTTAGAATTCTATTTTTGAAATTACTTAGGAAATATCTATTTTTTTATTTAGCTTTTATTTTTATTTACTTAGCAGATAAATAGCAGCCTTAAGTTAATGAGTCAATTCTTGAAATGAAAAATAATTTTTCTTCTAGAATCATGGCGATTCGATCATTCATCCACATTATTAGTGATTCATATTTATTAAAACATAAATAATAATGATTTCATCTCTTTTTAATGTACAAATTTGTTTCTTAATTTTCGTCTTTCAATTTATAATTATTTTAAAAATAAATAATTATCATTGATTTTCGAATAAATATAAATGACAATAGGTCAGATTTGTTTTCAAATATGACGTAATGGGAAGAAAACTTTATATTTCTTTTAAATATGAACGATGACAATTACTCTCTTTTAAAATGTATTTTTTTTTGAGAATTTCAGAGATCTCAATGAATGTTTCCTTTTGATTTCGTTTATGCATAAATTATATTGTTAACAAAATAAATTAAAAATAGATGCTAATTGTTTTGTTTCTTTTTCACAATTCATATTTAAAAAGCAATGAAATTCCATATTATTGGTATTTATTATAAGTATATAAAAATAATTATGTTAAACGAATTTATAAATATGAATCTTTTAAATGTTTTCTACACAATTCGTTTATCTTTTGCTTGATTTCACGTATACATAAAGGAAAGTAGCACAATTCTAAGTTCAAAAGATATATACACACAATTTTTGTTTTATTTACATTTAAAATATATAACTGATCATTATTTATTATTATTTAAAGTGCCAATTTTCAGTATTTATATTCAAAATAAATTTAGAAAAACGAAATTGGGTTCTCATTTTTAAATATGAATCATTGAAAAACAGGAGAAATTTCCCATTGTTTATGCAAGTTTTTGAAAAAAAATTTACATTTTCAAATTTAATCTAATACCCATTTAAGTTACATGTCAACAAAATTCAAACTAATATCAATTGGCATTATCAAAAATATTTAAAAAATATCTATGATGTAAAATAAACTTAAATTATTTGTTTTATACTTGACATTTGAAAATCAATATAAATCATCGTTTCCTCTTTGCCAAATAAAACAAACTTATGAGTTAGTGCTATTTTCTTTCCATGTACAAATTATAGAGACAATTCTATTTATTTCAAATTTGGAGATTAATAATCAATATCTATTTATCGATATACTTCTTTTCAAGACTATTAGTGTATGAATTTACATTTTTCATCAATTTCGTTTATTCGTAAATTAAACTATTATACAGATATTCGGATTAAAAATACATAGAAATTGTTTTTGTTTTCATTTTTCAATTCAAATTTAAAATAAGCATAATTTTTTATCATAACTCTAGCAGACGAACTTTCGAGAAATACCATTTAAACGCACAGAAATATGCCTGAAATCAATAAAAATAGCTATTTTTCGCTCTTTTTGTGCGTTTAAAACGCGTTCACATGTATGCAAAACAGAGAAACACGCTGTTGTTTTTTTCCCGCTCGAGAAACGTGATTGTAATTATGATCGTGCAAATGGACTGCATGAAGGGTCTAGAATTGAGAGAGGAGGAGGGGGGGTCTAACTGTGTTAAAATTTTTTGACAGACATATGTATAGTGAAAATCTCTTAACACAACATAACATTTATATTAGTAAAAAAGTTGCATCACCACCAGTGTAGCCAAATCTTTCAAAAAATTTCCGGATTTTGGTAGTTTTTTCGGATTGTTTCCGAATCTTTACACATTTACGACTTTTCGATTTTACATGCTTTCTATCTACTCTGATAATATTCCAATTGTTCGTTTACACTTTTAAACAAATTATTACTGAATGAGAAGTTTGATGCTATATTCTATTGGTTGACTTAAAAAAATCAATGACTTTTTTTTCATCAACTACAGTAAAAAACGCTATAACTTGTACTCATCATTTATATTCTTCTCAACATTTTCGGAATGAATGTTTGAGAAAAATGAAGAAGCAGAAGTTTTAGTAGAAAATGAACTATTATCAAGAGCACTGCCGAATATCACTGAAACTGTCTAGAACGACCAATCTGACAGTCGAATGTTACCCAAAACATTATCGGATTCGATAGGTTGAGTTTGACCTGAGTAATGTAAAACGAGACTGATAAACAAGAGAAGAAAAGAGTATTGAGATCTTAATGGTTTGAAGAATTTAAATTTTTGAAAAGAATATGTCTAACGTATTTTACTTTCTGTTCTTACATTCAAGTATGTTTTTTTTGAAGATAAAGAATAAAATGATTGATAATCTCAGGATAAACATGCATTTTTGAGCAATCAAGATTGATCATAAAAGATCTTTTCGAATTATTCCTCATCTCGGAAAAAACAATTTCGGAATTTTGCGAACTTTGAATTTTGAATTTCGGATTTCCAAGTTGAGCTTCTGGCAACACTGTACACTACTCTCTGAGTTATCTATTGAGAAAGAATAAAAACAGAGATATGTGCATGCATTTTCTTTTGAAAATTGATCAAAGATTACCATTTTTGTCTATCATGTGATTAAACTGATTGTAAGTTACAATCATTGTAAATATGCAATTGAATAAAATATATCTGTTGGTTTTTTTCTCTTTTCTTGTCTTCACATATCAGATGATAAAATCAACCAATACCGTTATAGGTTTTTCACAGCCAAAAAGAAAAAATTCCATTTATTTGAGGAATGTACAGCCCTTTCTCTCACGCTTTTCCGACTTCTGAATTTGCATCCTAAGTATAAAAAACGATAACCATTTCTCTTTTTGTATGAGTGCAAACGCGTGTTTTGTCTTAAAACGTGTTTAAATGCACGAAAAAGAGAGAAAAGTGACAGCTCCTGCTGATTTTAGGTCGATCTATGTGCGTTCAAACATGGTTTCTCAAGAGTTTGTCTGCTGAAGAGGTATTCATGAAAAGTATAAAGAGTGATAGTTCGTATCTATTCATAACGATTAATTTTTCAAGTATCTTAACGGAGGTCAGTCTATGTTGCCTGTCCATTTCTGTTCAAACTGCAAAAATTTCGTCAGTATTTTTAAAGAAATTTTTTTGAGGATTGAATTTTCAATAACAATTTCACATGTACTCTGTAAAGCACATTATGCTCTTGCATACAAGATTCTATTTAAATCATTTTTTAAACTGTCAAGCCACTGAAATAATAAGAGTGCAAGGGAAAAGTTTAGTCTCCTAGTAGTACACTATCTCTCATCAACCTCTGTAATTGAGATTAGAGCGAAAAAGTATATGTAATAGACGATCCATCATTTCTATTGCTAATCGCTACTTATAAGCAGTAATAAAGATATTGCGTCATACAGTACATACGAGTTTCACATTATAGTCCTAAAAGAACTTCGATAGCAATCTACCTGTCGTAATGTACATTTAAATAACTAGAACACTTGATTATTTGTACTGACCTTAAGTATAAGTTATCATTATTTCGTATTCAACACAAATATAAATAATGATAATTCGTCTACATTTTTGAGTGTAAGTCTTTAAAAAAAGTAATCAATCTTTTTCTCGGATGAAATTCATAAAAAGACTATGTACAACCGAATAAATATATATTCCTCAACCGAAAAAATAGTACACGTAAGCCTTTTCACCTCTAGGAACCTTCAAAAAAGCTTTCTTACTGATAGCTAAAGAAATCTTGTAGTTCTGTGCACCATTGAAGCAGGTTTCAATTTATGAGATAAGAGTAAAATCTTGACAAGAAATATTCTTTTATATATGATTTGACTGTATGATATTTGATCATCTGATCATCCATGTCTATTCCCTTTAGTTTCATTTTATTCATCTGCTTCCTTTTCACACAATCTTTCTCAACTTCTTCTGTCTATGCGTTGATGAATATTCAAGAGTGAAAATTAACGGATATACAACTAAATAGACATACCTTTGCACGTTATATTAATAGAAGATTTTGTTTGTCGAAGACACCAATACGAATATGAGTGATCTACACTGCTTTGTGCTTCAAGTTAACCAAGCATGTTGTTTAAATACACCGAAGGACATCACTTTTCCTTCATGCAATCAACCGTATCTTGAAAGAAAACGATATTGTTTGCGAATCATACCTGATATTTTTTTAATATTTTCTCTTCATTTTACCTCTCTTTTCGTTGATGATTTATGCAGCTAACCATATCTATAGGTATACAAAAGAACACGCATAATAGATTGCTCACTATAACGATAGGCATACTATTAAACGATATTTTTTATTTTTTATTGGATATCGAACCTTGTCTTTATTTATCCATTAGTTGCTTACGTATGCAGGCCATATTCATACATAAACACAATAATACGCACAATATAATACTCACTATAACAATAAGCATATTATCAAAGCATTATTTTTTACTTTTTATTGGATATCGAACCTTCTGTTTGTTTATCCAATAGTTGCTTACGTATGTAGGCCCTATTCATACATAAACGAAATAATACGCACAATATAATACTCACTATAACGACAGGCACACTATTAAACGATATTTTTTATTTTTTATTGGATATCGAACCTTGTGTTTGCTTATCCATAAGTTGCTTACGTATGCAGGCCCTATTCATACATAAAGGAAATAATACGCATAATAGGATGCTCACTATAACGATCGGCACACTATCAAACGATATTTTTTACTGGATATCGAACCTTGTGTTTGTTTGTCCTTTAGTTGCTTATGTATACAGGCCCTATTCCTACATTTACGAAATCATACGCATAATAGGATGTTCACTATAACGACAGGCATACTATTAAACGATATTTTTTATTTTTTATTGGATAT